CTTATGTTTTGGACATGTAAAGACATCTGGGTGGATCAGCCCTCTAATTGGAGATGTGAGAAGGTGCTTTTGTGGAGTCTGGAACACAGAACTGTAGATCTGAATCTGAGCAGTTTATGGATGGGTTTTAAATCTGGAGGAAATCACTTAGGGAAAGACTACATAAGGAGATGTGAACTTACTAGCTGTGTGAGTTGAGCATGTTATTTAGCTTCTCAAAATGAGCTTGATTTTGAACTTGTCTACAGCAAGCTTTTTACTACCTATCTTGCAAAGTTTTTATAAGAATTAAATTAGATAATGTGTATGAAAGATACTAGCACAAGGCTCAGCTCATGGTAGATTCTAAGGAAATATTATTTTTAAAAACTCTGAGTATCCTCCATCTCATTTTTTTGGAAATAAAAGTATCATATGAGCCATTAAAAATCAGATCTACACAGAGTGTCCAGGATTTGACCTTTTTGTTCTCTGATTCACCAACTTTCAAAATATTATTCTGGGCCAGTTTTGTAGCATGTGCCCTCAGGGATGGATAAAGAAGGATTTATATCATATTTCTCTGCTAAGAGAGCCCAAGGTTCCTTAGATAGATGTGTGGGCAGGTGGGGTAGGGTTGGGTGGTGGTAGAATGGGGAAGGCATGGAAAAGGAAGTAAAAGGATTTAAAAAAAAGTATATTAGGCAGCATATAATGGAACAGGAATGAAAAAACTCAAGATTTCAAACCTTAGTCCTTAGGAGAATGGTGTCATTGGGCCAGAAATAGAAACATCGAATGTGGGGTTCGTTTGGGAAGAAGAGAGAAATGACATGAGCTCAGTTTTGGCCAGGCTGAATATGAGATCCAGACAGAGCTGCCTAGAGGAAAGGTCAGGCCCACAGCTAAAAATAAGGAGTTTATGTAGCTCAAGAGAGAGACTGGACCAAGAGCTAGAGATCTAAGGATCCCCTCATGGAAGAGATGTTTGGAGCCTTGAGATTGGATGAGGTCATTGATGAAAAGTCCATGAAGATAGCCTTTTCTAAGATGGCTCTTTCATTTCTATTTCATATTTCATGTGGTTATTTATACTTGACTTCCCTGTTTAATGGTAAACTTAGTTGCTCCTCCATTCTCTCAAAGGAGGCTTGATAAATTGCTTTACCTCTCTTAGCTTCAGTACCCTTGACTCTAAAATGAAACGAATAACACCTTCTGCATAGGATTAAATGAGATTGTCTATTAGGGTGGTTAACACAGTGATGGGCACACAATAAGTACTCAATGAATATTAAATATTGTCTTGATTTTATTTATTTGATTCACCAGTAACTAAGCAGGCTCAGAGAAAATGCATGGACATGGAACACTTGGCCCCTGACATGAAGTGGAAAAAGGAGCCTGTTCTTCCTGGGATCCAGCCTCCGGGAGACCACGTTGCAGGGTCTTCCCACTGCCCACGCTGTGTCACTGGGATTGGAGGCTGTCTCCGCCCCCCACCTTCAGGAGATACCCAAGCTGAATCAGACCATTGTCACTTACTCTCCACTAGTCTGTGCTCTCAGAGAGAGGGTTGAATAAAAGTTTAATTAGATTTCTCAGAGTTTCCTAATGCCAGCAAGAGAGCCCTCAGGGTGTCTGATGAGTCAGTAGCTTCAGGCTACTTCTGAATTATTTTTAGGGCCAAAACAAGTCAGCTCCTAAGGCTTGAATCTCTGGCTCAGCCATCACTGAACAGGCTTAGAGACAGGAGCACATGGTCGTTGACTTTCTGATTTCTCCCTCTCAGAAGCCAAGACTATCCTATGGGGTGACTGGGCAGGGGTGTATAGGGCATGTGTTCTGTTAGAAATGCAGCCGCTCCTCGCCACCATTCCCCATCATCACCAATTTCTTCCTAAGCTATTTTGAAACAACCAGAAAAGGTTTAGAACTGGCTCAAATTCAGGTCACATGGTGATGTGGCTTACAAAGGTCTCAGAAGCCAGCAGTGTTCTCATGTCCAAGAAGACCAGACTTGGCCATTGCTTGAAAAGTAGCAAACATTCCCAGCCCCCAAACCTGGTTTGGAAATATATATACATGTCTTTAGATAACTCAAAGAATAGCCCAGATTATTTTTTTAAATTTAGTTTTGACATAAATTTTCAGTTTATAGAGAAGTTACAAAAATAGTAGAAAATATTTTACTCAAATGCCTCAAATGCTAACATTTTACTACATTTGTCTTATCCTTTTCCCTCTCACCATATCTATTGATTATTGATGTAATGACTGATAAGATTGCTGTAATGTTATTTTCCAATCTATAGACTTTATTCAAATTTCACCAATTTTTTCTGATAATTTCCTTTATAGCAAAAGAAAACCTGGACTATGTATTCAATTGTTACATCTCTTTAGTCTTCTTTAATATGGAACTGTTCTTGAGTCTCTCTTCATATCAATGATGTTGACTTTTCTTCATAGTACTAGCCAGTTATTTTGTAGAATGTCCCTTAATTAGGGTTTGTCCAATGTTTCCTTGGATTGCATTTGGGTTGTGTGCTTTGGGTGGCAATGCTGTAGAAGTGGTGTTGAGTTCCTCTCAGTGTGGCTTATCAGGAGGCACCTGCTGAACCCTTGTCTCATTACTAGTAATGTGAATTTTGATCCTTTGGTTAAGGTGTGAGGACTAAGCTCTGATTTTTTATCTTGCCCAAATTCCTCTCTAAGGGATCTAGGGAGTCATGCCCTGCAAACCATGGATTCTCATCAGATGGGTTTTATTTGACCCTGTATATTGTGACTTGCTTTTCAATCTGACTCTGGCATAACATTATGAGACAAGGAAGAAAATATTTAACCCCAAAATATATCTCCTTGCCATGCCTTGAAATTGCCCTGCAAAGCCTCTTGTGGGAAAAATCCACATTCTATAGAGAATCCCCTCCACCCTTTGTTTTCCTTCCTTTCCTTCCTGATTCAGGAGATGAATCAACTAAGAGCCAGGCACCCTTTTAGGTCTGAAAAGAAACATTTTACAACCTGCTCTCTCTGTCTCTGGAGTCTGCTGAGATATTCCTCTGCACAGTAAAACTTGGTTGCCACAATCCTTTATCTTAACCTGAACATTCTTTTCCATTAATCCCAGGTCTTCAGATAAACTCAACCGATTGTCAACCAGAAAATGTTTAAATTTACCAGTAGCCTGGAAGCCCCCGGCTTTGAGTTGTCCCGCCTTTCTGAACCAAGCCAATGTATTTCTTAAATGTATTTGATTGATGTCTCATGCCTCCCTAAAATATGTAAAACCAAGCTGGACCCTGACCACCTTGGGCACATGTTCTCAGAACCTCCTGAGGATCATGTCACGGGCCATAGTAACTCATATTTGGCTCAGAATAAATCTCTTCAAATATTTTACAGAGTTCGACTCTTTTCATTGACAGGTAGTATCAGCCAAGTTTCTCCACGGTAATATTACTTTCTAAAATAATTATGTGATTTTACTTTGCAAAGTTACTTTATAATTAATAAGCATCTTGTGGGAAGGTACTGTGAGATTACATATGTGTTCCTTCAAATTTTACTCACTAGTTTTAGCATCCATTGATGGTTCCGGCCTGAATGTATGATAATGATGATGGTTGTCAAATGCTGGTTTTTTTTATATCATTCCTTTTACATCTATTTGTTGACTTTCTACTGTAAGGAAAAGCTATCTTGTTTATTCATTTATTTATTTACGAATTTATTCCCTCATATTTAAAAAACAAAACTGTCAGCATAAAATTAGTCCTGGTGTGAGCATTTTTCCTTGATCCCTCAGTGAGAGTAAACTTGTCAAGGCCTGTCTGGTGAGCTGGTGGGCTGGTGAGAGGAGTCATTTTGCAAGATGTGAATTGCACTGGAGCCCTGAGTGTGGCTGAGGGAAATTTGAGTCGGGTTTCTGGACCAGGGGCAGGGTTGAGACGGCAGCGGGCGAAGGCTGAAGACACTGTCTGGCATGAAAGACTAGGAGTCTAAGAATATGATCAGCAGGCATGTGTGTCCATATGACAAAGTAGGACTCACTGTGGAGGACAGCAATGTTCATTATACATATTCTGGTAACACAGCACTTTGTACTGTAGAACATCTGAAACCAGTGGCTGTGGTAGTGCAGGGGAAGAGTGGCATTGGGGGCTCACTCCAGCCATGCCAGCCACTCTTACTTTCAGGAGAATGGGAGTAGGAGAGAGGCAGAACATGGCCCACATGTCAATCATGATGGCTGCACCCACTATCCAGTTCGTGAAAACGGGAGCCTCCTCTGCGTACTTTCAGGGGCAACTTTGCAGGAGCCTAAGATCCTATGTGAGCAGGCTGAGACCAAAGCCAATTAAAGTTGAGGGGTATTTCATGCTAGAGGCTGGAGACACCATGGGACATAAATTCTGATCCATACTGTGCTTTGACCTGGCAAACAGTCCTTGAAAATTTTAACTAATCAAAATAGAGGCAGGGCTTGGGCTTGATTCAGAGCATGGTGCCAAGTTGGTAAGTGGCTCCATCTGCCAGCCTCCCATGCTTGTCAACACAATTTGGTTGTGTCCCGCTCATTCATGGGTCCTTCCTTGGATTTTGCATGACACAGCAACAATCCTTCTCCTGCAGTACTACATATACCCCAAAGGAAGCAATTCTGAGCTAAGCAATTGCATAGAGTGACAAATGCACAAAAAGACTTGTGTCAAAGAAAATACCCAAGGAAGAGAGCATGAGGCTATATGGTTGCATGAGAAAAGCAGCTTCACCAAATCTACCAATTAGCTCCCCAGGGAATTATTTAATCCCATCTTTCATTTAATTGAAGACCAGAACATTATTATCTCTGGCATGTGAAGAAGGCATCCAAAAGAAAATTAACAATAGTATTAATTTATCATTGATTCAAACATAACTTGAGCTCCCTAAATTACAGTTTCATTGTATTTGGGCATCACATCAAATCAAGCCCAGTGCACCTGTCTTTAAGAATGAAGAGATATGGCAGTGCGGCTGGGTTCCTTCCGCGGGACGGGGAGAAAGAGAGAGCGTGAAAGAGAGAGGATGTCTCTCTCAGACTGGCACCTGGCGGTGAAGCTGGCTGACCAGCCACTTGCTCCAAAGTCTATTCTTCGGTTGCCAGAGACAGAACTGGGAGAATACTCGCTTGGGGGCTATAGTATTTCATTTCTGAAGCAGCTTATTGCTGGCAAACTCCAGGAGTCTGTTCCAGACCCTGAGCTGATTGATCTGATCTACTGTGGTCGGAAGGTAAAAGATGACCAGACACTTGACTTCTATGACATTCAACCTGGGTCCACTGTCCATGTTCTGCAGAAGTCCTGGCCCGAACCTGATCAGAAACCAGAACCTGTGGACAAAGTGGCTGCCATGAGAGAGTTCCGGGTGCTGCCATGAGAGAGTTCCGGGTGCTGCACACTGCCCTGCACAGCAGCTCCTCTTACAGGGAAGCGGTCTTTAAGATGTTCAGCAATAAGGAATCTCTGGATCAGATCATTGTGGCCACCCCAGGCCTCAGCAGTGACCCCATTGCTCTTGGGGTTCTCCAGGACAAGGACCTCTTCTCTGTCTTCGCTGATCCCAATATGCTTGATACGTTGGTGCCTGCTCACCCAGCCCTCGTCAATGCCATTGTCCTGGTTCTGCACTCAGTAGCAGGCAGTGCCCCGATGCCAGGGACTGACTCCTCTTCCCGGAGCATGCCCTCCAGCTCATACCGGGATATGACAGGTGGCTTCCTGTTTGAAGGGCTCTCGGATGATGAGGACGACTTTCACCCAAACACCAGGTCCACACCCTCTAGCAGTAACCCCAGCTCCCACCCAGCCTCCCTGGGGTACAGTGGAGCTGCTGGGCCCCGGCCCATCACCCAGAGTGAGCTGGCCACCGCCCTGGCCCTGGCCAGCACTCCAGAGAGCAGCTCTCACACACCGACTCCTGGCACCCAGTCAGGGACACCCATCACCAGTGATCTCTTCAGCCAAGCCCTACAGCATGCCCTTCAGGCCTCTGGGCAGCCCAGCCTTCAGAGCCAGTGGCAACCCCAGCTACAGCAGCTATGTGACATGGGCATCCAGGACAATGAGCTGAGACTGCGGGCCCTGCAGGCCACTGGTGGGGACATCCAGGCAGCCCTGGAGCTCATCTTTGCTGGAGGAGCCCCATGAACTCCCTGCTTCCCCTAAACCCCCAACAAGTTTCAGAGGCTGCTGCCCATGGGAGGCACTCATGAAGGTGCCTCCATCTCTCCCTCCCCCAATATACCTACCTGATGGTCAACTCTCAAAAAAAAAAAAAAAAAAAGAATGAAGAGATATGATGTTTGGAAGCCTTAATTTGAAATGCTGGGTGCATTTTTCATTGTTTATGCTTTAGCCATTTTTGCCTGGAAGTTGCTAGTGGTACAGTGTTTTATATAATGTAGTCTTTACGTCAAGCTTTCGAAAACATGCCAAGATTTACAAAGCAGGATAGCCATGCTCTCAAATGTTACTTCTAAAGTTATTTTCTTGACACTTTGAGATAAGCTAAAACTGCACTCCTGTAGCAGGGCTGGATGGTGTCCCAGTATCTCAGACACTTGTCTGGCCACCTAGAGTGTACCAGAGGTGGTTCCCTCTTTACAGGTCAGCGGTGGGCACAGTGAGCTGATCTGTCGCCCCTGGAAGTTGCATGTGCGAGGGCCTCCCAGGCCCTCTCATGCAGAAGTCATCCCACCTGGATCGGGGAGTCATGTGGAGCTCACCAAACAGCTGTCAGAGAGCCCTGGCCTGGCCAGCAGGGCCCTTCTCACAGAGCTGTAACATTTCAATTTCAGTAAATTGTACTGGCAGCCAGCACGGGAGCAGATGCTCTGCGATGAGGGTTCAGGAAGAACAAACAGTACCTGCCGTCAAAGGATGGATAACCTACTCGGGATTCAACCAATATTGAGGAAAACATGGTAGCGAGTGAACAGAGCCCGGGACTGGAATCACTGGGTTTGTGTTGGGCTCTGAAATCCTGTCACTTAGGGCAGTCTGCCTGACCTCTTGGCACTTCCGTGTCTTCCTCGTAACTGGAAAACAGCAGTTCTTACCTGGCAGTTTCTTGTGAAGATTAGTGAGAGAATGGAGACACAGTGCTGGCATGGTGTCTAGAGCAAAGTAAACAGAGCTCAGTAAACAGTAGCTGCTTTAAGTGCCTCCCGAGTACTGGACGCTTTCATCTCTGTGATGTTCCATCAGCCCTATGATTAGGCCCCATTTACAGAGATGGCATCGCAAGGCCAGAGAGCTGAGGGGCTTGCTGGTGGTTGGTGGTTCATCAGCAGTATAGCTGCGCTGGACTCTGGCCCTTCTGACTCCAGGCTCAATGCTCTCCTTGTCCTGACAGAATTGGCCCTTGTAATGTCAAGATCATTGATTGAGAAGAAATACTCCAGCATCTTCGAAGCAAACACAACACTAATAACAATGATCTCTTACCTTTGTATAACCCTTTTAACTTTCCGGAGAACCTTCACATCTATTATCTTCGATCCCATCTGTTTCAAAGCGTATTCTTTTTTGTTCAATGTGCAAAAATTACTTCTACCAGGACTTTTTCTGCTGCAAAGCTCTGGATGCACTAAAGTGTGTCAGGATTAATGTTCTGGATGGTGTCTTCTTCAGCCTGGGCAGGGAGTAGGATGCCTTTTCTTCGGGGTTGATGAGGTGCTGTTTCTATTTTGGGCTTTGGGTGGCTGTCCTACCCAGTGCACCTCGCTGGAAGCTCCTTTCTTGCTTTATTTCCTGAACTACAGGAGCATTTCCTACTTTCCACACTACTTAAATTCATGTAGAGGTGAAGCAGAAGTCACGTTGGTAGGAGGCTTGGACTAATTGCTCATTCCTATGTCCTTTGTGTGTGTGTCCACATGCACCTGTGTGTATATTGGTTGTGCTCTCCAGTTGCCCTGTCTAATGAGGAAGGCTCAGTGAGCACTGATCACTAAAGTCTGGCTGATCATGTTTCTCCGGGCTCCCTTCCAAGAGCCCAAATGTTGATCCTCCTCGTGTTGCCTCTTTATCTCCTTTGCTTGGGGCTGCTCCCATTAATGTAGATTATATCAAATAGGTTCATTATATTTCTTCTCTTTGAGCAAGGTTATTTTTCAAACACTAAGCACAAATAATTATTCAGGAAACACTTTGCAGAAACGTTGGAGGAAAACGCTATAATCCAAAATCTATTTTGGAAGCTTTTAGAAAAAAACAGGAAATCTGACAGGGGTTGGGGGAAGCAGGTGCTACATTCTTTTCAGGATAAATGCCTGTGTCCCCAGTGGGCAGGGGTGAGGGTGGGCTCAGGAGGCTATCTGACTAGTCCCTAATGGACTGAGAAGGCATTCCACAGCCTCTTTCAGCTCCAAACCAAAATGCCCTAGACTCAAGCAGCTCTTACTATAAAGATAAGAATGAAAGGTCACTTGTGCTGGCTCTCAGATTTGCAGGAAACAGAGCAAAGTCAGCAGTTAACTTAACGTCTCTGGAGGCCTCTGCCCCTCCCCGTGCTGAACTTACCATTTGGCACTAGTGCATGTGACTTTGGCAGGAGTTTCAATGACAAGACAATATCATTGCATGCTGAACGAGCCATGTCTGGGGTGTGGAGTGTTCCCAAAGCGTCTTTGGAGGAAATATATTGAAATGTAAAGCCATCTGCTGAGTTACTCTTTATTTGTTACCTTTGTTTTCTACCCACAAGTCACTAGATTTTTTTTTTTTTTTTTTGAGAGAGGGTTTCATTCTGTTGCCCAGGTTGGAAAGTAATGGTGTGATCATATCTCACTGCAGCCTGAACCTCCCTGGCTCAGGTGATCCTCCCAACTCAGCCTCCTGAGTAGCCAAGACTACAGGCACACACCACCATACCCAGCTAATTTTTGTATTTTTTGTAGAGACGGGGTTTTGCTGTGTTGGCCAAGCTGGTCTCAAATTCCTGAGCTCAAGTGATCCACCCACCTTGGCTTCCCAAAGCACTGAGATTATAGGTGTGAGCCACCGTTCATGGCTACAAGTCTCTAGATTCTTAATGGAGAGGAACTTGAGGAATAATAAAACTGATAACAACAATAGCTGCCATTTTTCAGAACTTTCTGAGCCGAATGTTTCACATATGTTATCTCATTCACTTCATACCAATCCAGTGAGCTGAGCAGCATTACTACGTTCATTTTCTAGTTGAGAAAACCTACGTTCATTTTCTAGTTGAGAAAACTGAGTCCCCCAATGGTAATGTCCCTTGTAAAAGGTCGGTCAATTGGTAAACAGCAGAGCTAATATTTAAACCAAACACTGCTTGACTCCAAATTCCATACTTACTGCACACCATATTCCTGTGCCACTTCTGTCCACTAGTCCCTCATCCAAGAGTAACCACTAACCTGATTTCCATGCAGAGATTAGTTATGATTGAATATGGTTGTCGACCATGCTCTTTGCTGTATAGAATTTCAGTGTGTGACTATGTCTCAATTTATTTATCCATTCTACCATTGATGGACATTGAATGGTTTCCAGTTCTTGGCTATCACAAAAAGTGCTCTTATGAATATAACATATAAACTTTTAAGATTGTGGATAAAATCACATCATCCATGTAGAAATCATATCATCTGTGAATGAGGTTTTAAGGGTTTTTCTCCTTCCCAAACCTTATACCTTTTATTTCCTCCCTCCCTCCCTCTCTCTCTCTCTCTTTCCTTCCTTCCTTCCTTCCTTCCCTCTCTCTCTCTCTCCCTCACTCCCTCCCTCCCTTCCTTCCTTTCTCCCTTTCTCTTTTTTTTTTTTTTTTCTTGACAGTCTTGCTCTCTCATCCAGGCTGGAGTGCCGTGGTGGAATCTCAGCTCACTGCAACCTCCATATCCCAGGTTCAAGTGATTCTCTTGCCTCAGCCTCCTGAATACCTGGGACTACAGGTGCATGCCAGCAAGCCCTGGTACTTTTTTTGTATTTTTAGTAAAGAGGGGGTGTTTCACCTTTTTGTCCAGTCTAGTCTCGAAGACCTAGCCTCAAGTGATCCACCCACCTGGGCCTCCCAAAGTGCTGGGATCACAGGCGTGAGCCACTGCACCTGGCCTCCTTTCTTTCTTCTTCCTGATTTTAAAAGCCTTCCCTGTTTTATCATTAAAAATAATGTTTACTGTAGGTTTTTGGTAGATTCCCTTTATCAGATTAAGGAAATCTCTTTTTAATCTGAGCTAGTTAATTAAAAATAAATGAATAGATATTTTGAATTTTGTCAGATGTGTTTTCTCCATCTATTGAAAAACAATATTGTTTCATTCTTTTAAGATGCTAATGTGGTGAATGATAATTACAGTTTTCCTGAAGTTAAGCATTGTATTCTTGGAATAAACCCAGCTTAGTCCTGATGTACAGTATTTTTTTTTTTCCATAAACTATAGGATGCATTTTGCTGATATTTGTGTAGGATTATTGCCTGTATATTCATGAATGAAGTTTTCCTATCACTTTTCTTTGCTGGATTTTTTGAGTTTTTGTATCAAAGTACAGTGCACTCATATAAAAAGTTGCAGAGCATTCTTTTTCTTTTTTTTTTTTAACTTTTTTAGCGGGTAGGGGACAGGTTCTGGCTCTGTCGCCCAGGCTGGAGTGCAGTGGGAGCAATCTCTGCTCATTGCAACCTCTGCTGCCTGGGCCCAAGCAATCCTCCCACCTCAGCCTTCTGAGTAGCTAAGATTACAGGTGCCTACCATTACGCCTGGCTAAGTTTTGTATTTTTTGTAAAGACAGAGTCTCACTATGTTGCCCAGGCTGGTCTCAAGTTCCTGAGCTCAAGCAATCCACTTGTCTCAATCAATCCTCCCAAGAGTGCTGGGATTACAGGTGTGAGCCCTGTAATTCTCAAGAGTTTTGCA